CTGCACGGCCGTGATGGGAGGCGGCGGTGGCGGCTTGCGGAAGAGGAGGAGGCCTTCATCCAGCAGTGGATTGACCACGGCAGATGAGAACGAGGCTTGCTGTTGACATTGACGCCGGATGGGCTGGGTGTGCGGTTGGTGGGGAGTGGGGTGGGGGGGGTTCGTTGTGTTGTTATTCGGGGTGGGAGGGAAGGAGGGGGGGGGTGTCCATGGGGAGGTACAGAGTGGGGGGGGGGGGCGGTTTAAGTCTCAGACCCGACCGCCTCGCACAGCGCACGGCTCGTGCTGAAGAAGGCGCAGACAAAGACGCCCGCGTGGAGCACGTGGGGGGGGGGGGGGGGCGGGGGGCGTCTTTGTCTGCGCGTGCAGAGAGCGGTGGGCCGCGCGAGCGCTCCGTGTACGTCTCACGCGCCAGAGACGCGCGATAATTGGCCGGTTGGTTGACGACTAATTGATGGACTCGTTGACCGAGTGGCTGATTGGTTAGCTGGCCGTTGACCGAGTGGCTGATTGGTTAGCTGGCCGTTGACCGAGTGGCTGATTGGTTAGCTGGCTGTCCTGCTCATCTTGCCATTGACGATGGTTGAGTCGTCGAGTGCGTCGCTGATCGCGTGACTCGTTTCTGCAGTTCACCGATTCGCTGACTTACGCTCTCGTTCACTTAATTAAGACATTGATCGACTAATTGACTGACTTACCGATAGACTCATTGATTGACTAACTGATTTAATCATTTTAATGACTAAACAATGATTATTCGACGTATTCACTCATTGATTAACTCTCTCTCTCGTGGGTTGTGGATAGGGGTGTGGGTTGTGGATTGGGGTGTGAGTGAGTGGGTGTTGGGTGTGAGTGAGTGGGTGTGAGTGAGTGAGTGAGAGTGAGTGGGTGTGAGTGAGTGAGTTGTAGGGTGTGAGTGTGTGTGGGTTGTGGATTGGGGTGTGGGTTGTGGATTGGGGTGTGAGTGAGTGGGTGTGGGGTGTGAGTGAGTGTGTGTGGGGTGTGAATTGGGGTGTGAGTGAGTGTGTGTGGGTTGTGGATAGGGGTGTGAGTGGGTGTGAGTGAGTGAGTGTGTGTGGGGTGTGGATTGGGGTGTGAGTGAGTGGGAGTGGGGTGTGGATTGGGGTGTGAGTGAGTGGGAGTGGGTTGTGGATTGGGGTGTGAGTGAGTGGGTGTGAGTGGGTGTGGGGGGGTGTGAGTGAGTGGGTGGGTGTGAGTGAGTGTGAGTGGGTGTGAGTGGGTGTGAGTGAGTGTGAGTGAGTGTGAGTGAGTGTGAGTGTGTGTGAGTGTGAGTGAGTGTGTGTGGGTGTGAGTGAGTGGGTGTGAGTGAGTGGGTGTGAGTGAGTGTGAGTGAGTGAGTGAGTGTGGTATTAAGCTCGAGTCACTGCCAGACCCTCCCGTCCATCACCGCCCCTCGTCAGCAACCTCCTCGCGTGCGTCGTCCCTCCAACCTCCTCCTCGTTCGCAAATTGGACGCCAACGCCAATGTGTGATGAGTAATTAAGGGCTCTGATTTAGCGCTGAGCGTCGAACCGAATGCGCACCCCCCGTGACCTCCATCTAGCGGTCTAATAATAAGATTAATATTCATCGTCGTCGTGTTTTAAATGTCTAATTTTATATTTCCTTACAGTTTGTTTTGAGTGTCAATCGACGGCTCTGCTCGCCTGCGCGCGAGAGGCCGATTTGTCGGGGGGGGGGAGGAGGGGGGGTGAACACCCGCGCAGGAAAGCGACGCAGGTTCGTGCTGTCCACATCGTGAGACGCACCCCAAACGTCGACTGTTCCACGTGTCAATAGCTCAGAAGAGATGTGGCCTCGCACGCACCCACCTATCGGATTGTAAGCTCCCAACTTTTGCTTACGATCCAGAGAATACAAAACACACGACAGGCAGACGTACAGAGACAGATGCACAGACGGACGGACGGACAGACACGCGTACCCACAGCCGTACGGACAGGGAGGCGGATGAATGGGCAGACGAACAGATGTACACGGACAGAGTTAGAGATGGGCAGCCAGGTGATGTGACGAGACGGACCCTACCAGACGTCGGACTTGGAGTTGTAGCCCCTGCACTGCAGCGCCTCGGGGCTCATGTAGTGCAGGGTCCCCGTGAAGGTGAGGGCCAGGTCCGCGGGCCCTGCCAGCACGCGGGACACGCCGAAATCCCCTGCGGAGCCCAGACACACACACAGTCACGTGGGTGGGTGGGGGGCATCACACACACACACACAATCACGTGAGTGGGGGGGGCATCACACACACACAGTCACGTGGGTGGGGGGGGCATCACACACACACACACAATCACGTGAGTGGGGGGGGGGCATCACACACACACAGTCACGTGGGTGGGGGGGGCATCACACACGCACACACAGTCACGTGGGTACGGGGGGGATCACACACACACAGTCACGTGAGTGGGGGGGGGGGCATCACACACACACAGTCACGTGAGTGGGGGGGGGCATCACACACACACAGTCACGTGGGTGGGGGGGGGGGCATCACACACACACACAGTCACGTGGGTGGGTGGGGGGCATCACACACACACAGGTCACGTGGGTGGGGGGGCATCACACACACAGTCACGTGGGTGGGTACGGGGGGGATCACACACACACACACACAGTCACGTGGGTGGGTACGGGGGGGGGGGATCACACACACACACATCCACGCGAGTGGCTAATTACCTACAGACAAATGGCCAAACAGACAAGCAGATGTGACAGATTCACGTCCAGACGCATAGATGTCACGACGCAGACGGGCAGATGGAAGGACATTGATTGAAAGGCCGTTCATGTACCCGGAAAAGCCTCTCATGGCTCGTTTCCCGGAGGGCCTTGCTCCATCGGGATGTTTGGCCAATTCCATTCGCGAGAGGGAGTGAGGCTCCACGTGTGAGGAAGCCCACGACGCGATGATTCACGTGGACGGCTTCACAGTCCCGCTTGCTGTGCTGCCACGCCCGGCCACATCGCAGCCCAGCGGGCTTCGGGGGGTTTCACAGATCTCTCCGTGATCCACCAACCCTCGCCTCTGCACCGCTGGATCCCAGCGGTGCGTAAGGTTGCCACCTGCTCTGGATTTCCCAGGAGCGTCCGGTGAAAATCTCCAAGTCTTCCCAGCACATTCAAGACTCCGGTTTTTGGCAGTTGCATTCCCCGCACCTTAGATTAGTACGGTTGGCTATGTACGGTACGAAAGAAGTTCAACACACATACAATAACAGCGATGATATTCCACTCAATACCATGCAACTTCGTGTAGCGCTTCCCGACCCCGCTATAGTGAGACACTCTTCCCCGGAGATACGTGCCACCACAACTTCCACCATCTACCACCACAACCAATACCACAAACCACCACCACCTCAACCACCACCACCACCATCGCCGCCGCCACGCTCAACTCACCCAACCGAGCCGCCGGTCTCAGCCCCATCTGCACACATCAGCTCATTCATTTTATCTGCGTTTAAATTGAATTTGTCTCCATCGGCTTTCGAATCGTGCTCATTACGGGTTATTTATGGGCGCGTTTATGGGGTGGAGGCGCGCGGCGTTCGCTGCGTTCCGGGCGAGCGAGCGAGCGGGCGAGCGGGCGCCGGGTTCGTGAGCAGCAGCAGCAGCTGCTCCGCTTCCTCAGCGAATGCCGCGCCGCGAGTTTAGCGAGATGGGGGGCGGGGGGGGCTTGGTAATGTCGCCGGGAGTTCCAAGGCGCGGGGGGACTGATGGTGGGGGACAGCCGACAGCTACCACGGGAAGGGGCCCCCTCCACCACGCTCCCCACGTCATGCAATCGTGAGACGCGAGGTCTGATTCACTTCTCTACCGCCCCCCACTCCCCCACCCCCTTCCTCACCCCCCCCCCACCCACAACCCGCCCCAGACGCATTGACATTCGGAATCGTGCAGCCAGCAGTGGATCGCCGTGACGTCATCTTGCCCCTGCAAGATGACGTCATAGAACGACGTCTCAGGTCACATCCACAGGCCCCGTACAGCCACCCGGCCACTTCACATGAACTGAACGTTCACTGCGTGCGCAGCACTACGCTTAACACGTTAATCTCGTGTCACGTGTAGTATATCATAACGGACATTAGTGCACGTGAATGCATGTCGTGTGAACATGTTACATGAACATGTTACATGAACATGTTACATGAACATGTTACAGTCTTCTGTCAATCCACTGTTGGATGAAGGGCTCCCTCCACGCCTCCTCGGCCATGGCAGATGTTTGGCCGGACTTCGCCAGGCGGCCACTTGAGGCCGCTGTAAGGGCGTGCCCCGAGACCGACTCGGACATTCCAGCGGGCGCTCAATGTCACCCGTGGCCGTGACTCCAACTGGGATGGGGCCCCGCTGTTGGCAGGGCAGCGCGCTACCCGCTGCGTCGCGACGCACGCGGCCGTGCGCTCGCTGTCTGCGCGTGTGGAACTCTGCCGAGGTCCACGTCACACGCCGCACGGTGACGGACGCGACGCTTGCCGATTCGCTGACACGCGGGACGCCCCACAATGCAGCCACCCACCGATCTTCACCATGCCGCTCTTCAGGAAGATGTTTCTCGTCTTCAGGTCCCTGTGGAGAATGTGCCTGCGCGAGAGAGACACAGAGAGACAGAGACACGCACGGAAAGAGACTTGGGATCGGAAGAGATGAAGAGACGGAGAGACATGAGATGGGGAGAGACGTAGGGTGGGGAGAAATGCTTTCGGGTTGCGCCGCGCGTTCGATCGGCTTTGATGTGCGACGTTTCGCACCACCCGCTGGGAGCGGTTCTTCAGCGAGTGAACGAGCTTCGAGCACGTGCAGCCGGAACGTCGGGCATCGTACCGAACAGCGTGCGACAAAACGGCCGTAAACCACAGGGGAGAGCTGCACGTGGCCCTCTCTGTGGGACAAGCAGCAGCAGCAGCAGGAAGGAGCTGCATCGCCAGCGACCGTGTTTCCCAGGGACAGCCCCCCCCCCCCCCGTGTTCCCCCTGCCTCTCCGTGCACCGCCACCGTCACTTTGCAAGAATGAATTCACGTCACTAAGTGGAGCTCTCGTCGATTGTGGAGGGAGAGAGGTGGGGGGAGAATCGTCGTTCACCTCGCCATTGGCCTCACCACCCTCACAGCCTCGGGCAGCGATATCCTCCAGCGCGCCCTCGCCCCAACTGCGCCTGCACTCGGCACATCTCGGAAGCTAAGCGGCGTTGGGCCTGGATGGCGCTCGCATCCTGCACGCTCCCCCCCCTGACCCCCCCCAACGCAGCCGTCCTCTGCCTTGCCGGCCGCTGCTCGGCTCCTCCTCGGCTGCCCCCCGCCCTTGCCGCCAGCGTGGCACGCGGGGTCGGTGGCCCCCCCCCCACCTGTCGTGGAGGTGCTGCAGGCCCAGCAGCAGCTGGACGAACCACTCCACGACGCGCGGCAGCGCGAACTGGGAGCCCTCCTGGCGCCGCCTCTCCACAGCCATGTGCAGGTCTCCTCCCTGCGGCGGCGTGGACGGGAGGCACGAGGTGCACGGGGGGGGGGGGGGGGTGGACACGGGGTGGACAGGGGGGGCGATGGACAGGGAGAACACTAAGGGGCCGTACTTAAATGACGTCACGCCATTTTGGACGATTTTTGACCCCCCTCAAATATGACGTCACAAAGCTCTACCCCCCCCCCCCCCGAAACCATATTTCCATCTTGAAAGTAAAAACATGCTTCAAATCGCTTTAAAGTTTCGCATTTTTACGTGACGTCACATTTCTCAACCCCTCCCCTCGTCACACATCGTCACAAATGTCTGACCCCCCCCCCCCCCCCCCAGGTGCGTGACGTCTTTTATGGACGGCCCCCAAGCAGGTGTGAACCATGACACCTGATCCCTAAGATAAAGCTACCAACTCTCCCGCTTCATCGCGGGTAGTCATGCGGGCTTGTAGCTGCCTATCGCGGTGGCTCTGCCTGGTGCGTTGTTCTCATCTGCATGTTGGTCTTCAAGCGCCACTCACGGAGCCGCCGAGGGAGGCGCTGCCTGTACGGTGGGCGGGGCTACCCGACCAATGGGCGGGGCTAATGCTTCTGTGGGCGTGTCCATGTGATAGTGGGCGGGGCTAATGCTTCTGTGGGCGTGTCCATGTGATAGTGGGCGGGGCTAATGCTTATGTGGGCGTGTCCATGTGATAGTGGGCGGGGCTAATGCTTCTGTGGGCGCGTGGGGTGGGACGCGGGGCGCCGCGTGGGCTCACCTCGCAGTGCTCCGTCACGATGTAGAGGCTGGCGTCCTGCACGAAGCTGCCGTGGAAGCGCAGCACGGCCGGGTGGCCGAGCCGGGACAGCAGCCGCGCCTCGGCCAGGGCCCGCGCCTCGTGCCCCGGGGCCGCCCCCCGAAGCGGAACCTCCTTGAGCACCACGCTGGGGTCGCAGGGACACGTTTGCTCCACACTTGGGAGGCTCAACAGGGCCACACGTGGCCAGCTGCCAGCCACTCCCCCCTCCCTCTGTCAGCCCCGCCCACTCGTACATAGCCACGCCCACTAATACATAGCCACGCCCACTAATACATAGCCCCGCCCACTCGCACATAGCCCCGCCCACTAATACATAGCCCCGCCCACTCGCGCAGAGCCCCGCCCACTCGCACATAGCCCCCGCCCACTAATACATAGCCCCGCCCACTCGAGCACTAGCTCCGCTGTGCACACAGTGACGCTGCCTCTGCCAGGTCTCGCGAGTCGGGCACGAGGCCAGCAATGGCCCGATGACTGCTGACGAGTCCTAACAGCGACAAAACCGACCCGCGGCGGCGGTGGCCGCGGGGACCCACGTACGTGGCGTCCTCTGCGGCGGCCTCGGTGTCGCGCGCCAGGTGGACCCGGCCGAACGCGCCGTGGCCCAGGGGCCCCAGCAGCTCGTAGCGGCCTCCTGCGAGCGCGGCCGCCGGCTCAGCGCCGCACCCCTTCAAGCGCCGCCGCATCCTCCTCCTCCTGCCGCTGTGCGAGTTACAATAAACAGCAACAACAGCAACAATGAGAAGCCTCGGCAGGGGAAGTTGCCGGGATGTGTTCATAAATGTCGTGATTCTGGTGTGTGCACGAGTGTTGAACTCCTTTCGCACCAACCGTACGGAGCCACCCGCGCTAGTCGGAGGTGCGGGGAAGGGCCCCGCGGGGGGCAGCGCGACCCCCGCGGGGGGCAGCGAGCGAGCGGCTCGGAAGCCTGCGGGGAGTTCCAATCTCGCTTGGGGGGCGGGGGGGGGGGTGACTCAGCCCATCATCCCTCCGTAGGGGGGGGGGGCGAGCAAATGAGCACCGCTATGTAGGGGAAGCCAGCAGTCATTGTGCTGTGGATAGACTCGCCCCGTCATAGGAATGTGGAATGCCCCACCGCTGGCTCTGCAGGGCTATAAATGGGGGGGGGGGGGGGCGCCGATACATCGATGCTCGTTTGCGTTGCAGGACTTTGGCTTTGGCTACATTGGGGTAAGTGTACTCGAGGATGGGACACGCAGCAATTAGGAGGAAAGCTAATTCAATTAACGCCCCTAATGACCCCGCGGGTGCGGGGCGCGGAAACTCAATCAGCGTGGGGGCGCCTCGCCGAGTGGGGGGGGGGGCGGAGTGCTCACGGAGAATTCGCATTTATTGGCACTTAAATGCCTCAGCGTCTTCCGTCTCATCTCAGTCATTCCAATGCTCGTCAGTCAGTAGCTTTTGTTTAGACTCTAGGGCGGGGGGGCGGGGGGGGTGATGACAGCAGCCCCTGAGCCAGAGGTCGCAACCGAGTACCCGATACCCGCACCCTACCCAATACCCGGCTACGGGTAGCCGTTTGCGACCCTGGTGCGGCCGCGTACGGGTACGGGTAAGGAATCAAAACCCGTTTGCGACCTCTGCCCTCTGAGCGGCTGGGCACGGTTCGAACCCCTGCACTGAGATGTTATTGTTAACTGAATGTGCGAAGGACACGGATTCCAATCCCCGCTCGAGCGATGCTGTTTGATGAACTACATTTGGCTCCCACGCGCCGATATAATGCTGGTGATCTCCCCACGCCCCCACAAGATATTCCGCCAGGCATTTAACGGAATTCTAAATGTTACTCCGCTGCGATGTTCTAAATGCAGTCTCATCTTAACGGAATGTCGTCGAAGACAAATGCAGGCGAGCTGAAGTGATGTCAGCGTTGGATTGAATACAGCCGAATATGATTATATAATGGAATCGTTGTCCTTCATGCAAATTGCATCCCTCACATTCCCGACAGAAGCACGGACAGAGCGTCAAGGTCGCCGCAGCCACGCAGCCCGAGGAGCCCCCACTGCCAGAAATAGTCCAAGTTCTGTGGTCCTCTACGATGATCACGGATGCAGTGTGTAATATCTGCAACCGATAATTAAAGTCACCAAATATGCCAGGTAGACAGTCCCCGTGGTTCCAGGAAGGCTGTCCTGGAGTCCCCAAGCGTTGTTGAAAATATATATTTTGTTCCGGTTGATATACTTTGGGCTTAGCTCGTGGATTTATCGCTTGATGAATGACGTGTTGTGGATATCGTGTTGTAGACATCGTGTTGTAGATATCGTGTTGTAGAGATCGTGTTGTAGATATCGTGTTGTAGATATCGTGTTGTAGAGATCGTGTTGTAGATATCGTGTTGTAGATGATTATGACGTGTTGTGGATATCGTGTTGTAGATGATTATGACGTGTTGTGGATATCGTGTTGTAGATGATTATGACGTGTTGTGGATATCGTGTTGTAGATGATTATGACGTGTTGTGGATATCGTGTTGTAGACATCGTGTTGTAGATATCGTGTTGTAGAGATCGTGTTGTAGATATCGTGTTGTAGATATCGTGTTGTAGATATCGTGTTGTAGATATCGTGTTGTAGATATCGTGTTGTAGATGATTATGACGTGTTGTGGATATCGTGTTGTAGATGATTATGACGTGTTGTGGTTATCGTGTTGTAGATGATTATGACGTGTTGTAGATATCGTGTTGTAGATGATTATGACGTGTTGTGGATATCGTGTTATAGATGATTATGACGTGTTGTAGATATCGTGTTGTAGATGATTATGACGTGTTGTGGTTATCGTATTGTAGATGATTATGACGTGTTGTGGATATCGTGTTATAGATGATTATGACGTGTTCTAGATATCGTGTTGTAGATGATTATGACGTGTTGTGGATATCGTGTTGTAGATGATTATGACGTGTTCTAGATATCGTGTTGTAGATGATTATGACGTGTTCTGGATATCGTGTTGTAGATGATTATGACGTGTTGTGGATATCGTGTTGTAGATGATTATGACGTGTTGTGGATATCGTGTTATAGATGATTATGACGTGTTCTAGATATCGTGTTGTAGATTATTATGACGTGTTGTGGATATCGTGTTGTAGATGATTATGAGGTGTTATGGATATCGTGTTGTAGATGATTATGACGTGTTGTGGATATCGTGTTGTAGATGATTATGACGTGTTGTGGATATCGTGTTGTAGATGATTATGACGTGTTGTGGATATCGTGTTGTAGATGATTATGACGTGTTGTGGATATCGTGTTGTAGATTATTATGACGTGTTGTGGATATCGTGTTGTAGATGGTTATGACGTGGTGTGGATGATTATGATGTGATGTAGATGATTATGAGAGAGAATTTTCTCACGTAAATTCGAAATGCACTCTGCGTGTACATTTTAAAGTACCATGCAAAGGGCGCGGTTTGAAAATCCTGCGCGAGTGACGCCGTTGTCCATCGTTAGTAATCTATTATAGATTTAGTAATCTATGATATATGGATAATAGACGTGCCGTGTACTTAGGACGTTGCTTTAATGGTGGAGAGTGCACGGAGTCAATAATACATCGTGGCTCGCGTCAACGCGAAGTCACTTTGCGTCTGCTGCCCGCCTCCTCCCTGTCCAGGGTATTGGTGGGGAGCTCCAGGCCGTAGGTCTGTACCCCCACCCCTGCACAGGGCCGCACAGAATCGGAGTCTTTCAGGATGATGTCTTTATACTGGAGGAATCCGACGAGCTATAAAGCTCTTTTTCATAGCTGTCCATGGGGGGGGGGAGGGGGGGCATAGCTCCCACTCCCCTCTGGGGGTCGCTGTGACAAATGCAACAACTTAAAGGCGGGTACGGCACAAGTGGGGATGATCTGGATAGAGCCACCGCCTTTATCTCCCCCAGTGATGATGTCTACACACCACACCAGGTACTGATTTGAGGCTGAGTCGACCGAGGGGAGACCTACAGACGACACACGCGCGTGCACATCTACCGCACACACAAGGGAGAGAGGTTGCAGTCTAACGAGAAACTCGGCTCATGAAGGCCAGGAGCAGTCCTTCATCTTGTTTCATCATCGCATCATCTAATCAGCATCGTTATCTTCAACACCATCATCTAATTAGCATCGCCATTTAAAACACATCGTCACGTGATCATTGAATCCACCTGCACGCGTTGTCTTCATCACCCAAGACTGGACACTGGAAACCGCGGAGTGGAGTAAAGTAACCCCCTCAACCTGGAGCCTGGATTCTGGATCCTCACCCCGGAGTGGAGTAGGCAGCCTCCTCAACCTGGAGCCTGGATCCTCCACCCAGCACCTAACACGTGACAAGTTTGATGCGGGGTAGGGGTCAGCGAATCGGCACGCGTGGTACGCGCTGCGGAGCGTCACCCTGGAGCCAGCGACAGACAACGCACCCCCCCAACGCACCCCCCCCAACGCACCCCCCCCAACGCCACCCCCCCCAACGCCACCCCCCCCAACGCCACCCCCCCCAACGCCACCCCCCCCAACGCCACCCCCCCAACGCACCCCCCCAACGCACCCCCAACGCACCCCCCCCCAACGCCCCCCCCCCAACGCACCCCCCCAACGCCCCCCCCAACGCCCCCCACGCACCCCCCCAACGCCCCCCCCCCAACGCACCCCCCCCAACGCCACCCCCGTTCCCAACACCGCTGTCCCACGCGTCTCACGACATACGCAGAAACGACAGCACCCCCCTCCCCTCCAAACGGCGGACGACATGAACACGATGACATGAACACGGTGGCATGAACACGAGGGCATGAACACGAGGGCATGAACACGAGGGCATGAACACGATGGCATGAACACGATGGCATGAACACGATGGCATGAACACGAGGGCATGAACACGATGGCATGAACACGAGGGCATGAACACGATGGCATGAACACGAGGGCATGAACACGATGGCATGAACACGATGGCATGAACACGAGGGCATGAACACGAGGGCATGAACACGAGGGCATGAACACGATGGCATGAACACGAGGGCATGAACACGAGGGCATGAACACGATGGCATGAACACGAGGGCATGAACACGACGGAGTGGCCTGGTAGTGAAGGCGGACAGCCCCCCACACGCCGCGGCAGAGCCGCTGCCCGTTGAGGCTGCCCGTGTGGGGGCTGCCCGTGGGGGCTGCCCTGGGGGGGGGGCTGCCCTGGGGGGGCTGCCCGTGCCCCTCGACTCGCGGTGTCGTCACCTCGCCCCGTGCCCAGTGGACAGCGAAGCGCGACTCGGCGCGTCTAAATAACATTCGTCGTCGTCATTGATACTAACTCGGAGCCCTTTGTCAATCCACTGCTGGATGAAGGCATCTCCACACGCTGTGTCAATCACGGGGGGGGGGGATTGTTTGATCACACTTCACCACGCTAAGCAGCGTGGGGTAAAACAAAAACCCAAAGAGGTGGAGGAGGATTGGTCAAGGCCGGTGTGGACATCGCTCGCCACTGACGACAGCCGGGGGCCGGGATTCCAATTTAGCTCGCCGGGTTTCAGGGCGCAGTGCGACGCTAACCGCTGCACCACCGCTCCTCCACCGGTTCACGCGCACAGTGCGATTAACTCAGACGCCCCCACTCACTATTAGTGCAGAAGTCAACATTTCATTTGTAAAGCCTCCTCGCGTCTCCTCCCCATTGTTCAGTATCTGCAACTCGCGGAGCCGTCGCGTTCGAGAAGCCGCAAGCCAAGCGGACGATCCGCGGGGCGCAGTCAGCGGAGCGGCGCTCGCACGAAGCGCACGCGGCCGTGGGAAACGACGCCGCGGGGTCTTAAAACAACACAAGCGGGGAAGTCATCAATTACCACCAACACCCATCCGTGCAGCTCACCAAAAACACGCACGCACACGCGACTCCACCTGACCGTAAACACGAGCGAGATCAAGGCAATGAGTCCGGGATTCGAGCAGTCGCGGATTCAGGATCCTCCACCACCGCCGCTGCCGCAAGCTCCCTCACCTGCCAGGTGTCCCCGTGTCCTAGCAACGGCGCTCCCAACGCAACGCGGCCGCTCATCCCTGCGGAGGCCGCCCGAGCCCATCACTCAGCTCGACGTGGCGACTCGTCCATCCGCCTGCGACCTGTCCGGGCTGCCCTCGCGAGCGGCGGCGGCGCCTCTCGCTCCGCTGGGTCCGTGCCGCTGCCGCCCGCGCGCCGCCTCCGTGGGTTTGGGGCTGCCACCTCCGCGGTGCAGGAACACAAACAGCCCGGCAGCAACGTCGGGGTGGGGGGGCTGGAACCTCACAATGGCCGTGCAAGAGGGGAGAACCACGGTGTCAATGAGTGCTGTGCACGGTGTGTTAGAACCACAGTGTGTTAGAACCACGGTGTCAGTGAGCGAGCGCTGTGCACCGGTGTGTTAGAACCACGGTGTGTTAGAACCACGGTGTGTTAGAATCACGGTGTATTAGAACCACAGTGTGTTAGAACCACGGTGTCAGTGAGCGAGCGCTGTGCACCGGTGTGTTAGAACCACAGTGTGTTAGAACCACGGTGTCAGTGAGCGAGCGCTGTGCACCGGTGTGTTAGAACCAAGGTGTCAGTGAGAACCACGGTGTGTTAGAATCACGGTGTCAATGAGCGCTGTGCACCGGTGTTAGAACCACGGTGTCATTGAGCGCTATGCAGCGGTGTTAGAACCACGTCCGTGAATTACCAGGAGCTGTAGGCGTGGGTTACAAGGTAGCCAGGTGGCGGCGGGAGAGCGATGGATTCTTGAATCTATCCGTGTGGAGCGTTGTTACCCGTCGTTATGCCTGAGTTTCCTACTTTGGGTTCCTCATCCACGGGTTTGGATAAACACCGCAATGTCGCCGCTGCACGCATGTCGATCTACTGCTGGATGAGACAACCCCCCCCCCCTCTCATGCCACTTTGGTCACGAGGGTTATTTGACCATACTTGACCATACTTCACCACGCCCGTCGTTGTACTTATCTCGATGGGCCCGCGTCTAAGATGCCCGTCTTCACCAACCTACTCGGACCGGCGTGTCGTGCGGTGAAACAGCCGGCACGGTGCGGGCAGGCCGTCATCCAGCAGCGGATTGGCCAAGGGCTGCGCACGCACCCACGTGCACACATTCTGGAATGCGCCACCGAGACTACCGGGGAAGAAACGATCGCGCAAACAAGACGCAAGGAAGGAGACACGAGGGGAAATGAATTGTTTAAGTGAAATGTGATCCCTCGGGGGACGGTTCATCGAATCCCCGGGGGGGCTGCATCGTTCGATGGCAATACAGTAAACCCCGAGCACCACTCGGGTGCAAGCGTCGATGACGCTAACCGCACACTGCAGCGCGCGTCGTCAACGGGACCCGGACGAGTCCTCGACTACAACTCGGCGAGGCTCTCGGCGGCGCGCTGGGGTTACACACTGCACAGCCGCACAGCCGCACAGCCGCACAGCCGCACAGCCGCACAGCCGCACAGCCGCACAGCCGCACAAGCATCGCTTGGTGAGGCTTTCCCAGATAAATGACTCCCACTTAATCTGCCGCTATCGGGCGGTTAGAAAATAAAAACCAAATCGATCCCATTCTTTTTTTTCTGAGTTTTTTTTAAAACCACTCTCCGTCTCTGCTGCGGCCCCACGAACCAAACGCGGCCGGCTTGCGCAAAGTCCGATGGAGTCACCGCGCGTCAACGCACGGCATCTGCCCGGCAAACTCGGCAGCGACTCCGCGCGGGTCTCTCCGTGGCGCTCCGTGGCAGGCACGGCACAGAGCCCAGAAAAATGCTCTTCGCTCGTGCCAAGTCGCGCCACCGGGAGCTGCAAGGGCTTCCTTAATTGCTGCTAGCAAAGTGCGTTAGCCATATGTCAATTCCGCGCAGTCAACGGCCAATTAAAAACGAGCTCCAAATCTACAGTGCGAGACGGCGCGACGAAGTCCCCAAGCGCAGAGGAGCGAGATGGGGTTGCGCGCAGGACCAGAGGGGGAAAGACACACACACCGGCAAGCGTACAAGCCTTCATCCGGCAGCAGAGAGAGAATGACCGGCAACGGCGACAAGATCCCCAAGTGAAATTAAACGCAGGACGTGGCACGTTCTTGGATCAAATAATTTTAATTATCAGAAAATACATTACCCTGAAATTCCTCACTATGATACAACTATAATTACAGGTATTAAAAACTGCCAAATGTGAATGGATAAGGGTGAGCAAAACACAGTCAAATACCGCAGGGTAATACCGCCGCCATCTACGCGTTACAAAGCGGACCTCCTACAGGGAATACGGTGAAACAGACGACAGCAGCACTTCCTACTGCGAGCGACATTGCTTGAAAGAACCCTCCGGAGCGATGCAAGGCGTGAGCTGCATTTATTTTGAATTATCTTCAAGAGCAGTTTTTGATTTCGCGTGTCCGCTCACGACCGCGGCAAACGATGCCCGACGCACGCACGGCCCAACGTCTCCGCTCCACGACGGGAGCAGGGCCGCACGGTTCAGCGGTTTGCACATCGAGCATGCCACAACACAGTCCCACTCACGCACGCACGCGCACACACACACTAACAACGAACACGAGATGTAACAACACCGTGCCACTTAATCGGTTTGACAACGGCACAGACTCGCATCATTGCTTTGGCGACGTAAATACGCACGCTTGATCAGGAGGGTGCGTTTCCTCCGGAGGGGGCGGTGAAATAAATACAACGGTGAAGTCAACGGAACGCGGCCAGCGACGGCGTAATAAACAACAGAAGTGGTTGTCCCCGCTTTGGAAGCTGCTCTCAGGATTGCGAGCGTGCAGCGCGACGATGACCCTCGGCCCGTGAGCGCCGTGTCCGCCGCTCGCCGCCCCGCGGCCTTCGGCTCCGGAGCTCTGGGCCCTCGATGACGAGACGGCCGAGGTCGCCGTGCGGGAAAGAGGTGGACAGGAGGTGAACGATCGGTCACCGCCAGCGTTGCCACTTCCGCCACGTCGACCGGACTGCGGCGGACGAGGCGGAGGCTATTTTGAGAGCGACGCGGTGGGATTGAAAATAAAAATAAACGCGAGGCCGCAAAACAGAGGCCTCCGCACGCATACACACGCATATGCACGCATACGCACGCATACGCACGCGACAACAAAAACCGACGACGGCAAGAAACACCGAGTGCGCACGTCTGAGAGGAGCGTTCCACACGACGCGATGATGATGCCAGCAAGCCAAACCAAGTGCAAGGACCGTCCAAACAAATACTGCCGCGCGTGCGAAAGCATCACCACTTGAAAAGGCAATAAAACGTAATAGCATTGTCCCTTTGAGAAAACTGCGGGGAAAGGAGAAAAAATAAGAGCATTATAAAAGTAAAATCTGTTTCAAAACCGGCCAAGGTCGCCGCACGGCCCTCGTCGTCCACGGCGAGGTTTTTGTCTTCGGCACCGGCGCGCGGCCTCCCCACCACCGCCCCCCTCCACCCCCCCCCCCCCACTTTCCCCCCACCTCCCTCCACCCCGCCGGCTGGGATCACACTTCAAGGAAGGATCCCCCCCCGTCGTGCTTGCGGGAGAACAACCTCCTCCGCTCCACCGCCTTCATCACCTCCGACGCGATCCACACGGTCGACGTCAGCCCCAGCAGGAAGAGCAGATCTGGCGGCAGTGTCAACACGAGCGCACAAAGACAAAGATCTCCCGTGTAGCATTAACGCACCGTTGGGGCAAGTGCCGATAGCGAGCACCTGGAAAGGTCGGCATGCACACAATCACATACGCATGTGCATGCGCGCATACACAGTTACACATACGCACGCGCAAACAATAAACGAACGAATTATTGATTTAATTTGTCTAGAACTCAGGCAGGTACCAATGGGACTACCACTCTTTCGTAAAAAGGGATGCGATAGACAACTGGTCCTGGGAGTAATGAACAGTGTGGCTCTTATTTACAGCCAGATGAGCGCACGTTGATCTGCTGCCGCCACTACCAGCCCGGGATAGCGCTGCTTGCGGCAATGCGAGGATGAGCTGTCATCTCAAATATCAAAATGTTAAAATACCGCAAGCATGGCAAGCTGATTAAAAGTACGCAAGTCTCTGAAACCGTAACGCCACGTAGCGCCCCTCCCCGCGAGTCAAGCGGAGGGGAGAGGTTTCATCTATGCTGCTTTCTGCTAAGCCGCAGGGACGCCACGGGCGGCGGAGATAAATTATTAAAATTACCGAGATTTTCTTTCAACAACGATGGCAGGCGACATGCGGGTGGAACACTCGGCTAAGCACTTCGGAGGGGCAAATTGTTCTGCTGCCAAGAGGGCTAAGTTGGAAATATGTTTTCCAAACTCTCTTTTCAAAACTGGTTCAGAAGAAATGACGGCTGCTGCTGAGACACGTCGTGGTGGAGGGGGTGGGCAGAAAGCAACTGCCCCTTTTGCACCTCTGATCCTCACACAGATGCACACGTCGTCAAACGCACGCACGCCACAGCCTGGCACGCCACCAACATACATAACGACACACGGGCACACACACAACCATGCTGACACATTGCCAACACGTACACACAGTCAGATACGCACAGCGCAGGCATGTCATCGCACACACACACGCGACCAGACACGCCACCAACACACCGACACAAAGACTCACAATGACACACACCAACACACTGACACCCACACACACCATCACATAGCTACACACACCCGCTACGATGACAAACAGACATGCCACCAGGGCGGGCGGTAGGGGATGGGGGCGGCAGGCACGGCGGTGGCACCGCCACGCTCTCCTCTTACCCACTGCGCTGAGGTTCTCCGTCTGGAACACCTGCTGCAGGGGCGGGAAGTAGATGACGGCCATCTGCCCCATGATGCTGCCCCCGACCGCGTAGCAGAACATGCGGTTGCTGAAGAAGCCGCTCTCGAACACCGACTTGGTCTGCGGGCGGCACGGACGGTCGCGTCAAGAGCCGCCGCTCGCCGGCACACCGCACCCACCATACCCCACCCCTCTCTCTATTTCTCTCGTGCCACCTACACCAATCTTGCCTCACTGAGAAAATATTCAGTGAGGAATTCAAAACCTGGCCCCTATATTCTCACAATCCTCCGTAAATCAAAGAAGATTTCCCACAAATTCTCACTGTCCAGAAAGTAGTGGGATTTTATTGAGAAGGAAAATTAAAGGGATGACATAAGTGACTTATTAAGCTGATTGTGCGGCCATCTGTGCGGACATAATGCGAGAGAAACTGCCAACACACGACGATGCGTCCTCACGCAGCAAGCGTGGCCGTGTTGATTGCCTCTTAAAAAGTGTTTGTGCAGTCATTGACCCTCGATGAGTAAAGAGCAGCCGGTAATGAAACCAGCTCGCGCGTAAAAACATTTCACCGATTATCTTTTTGGCAAGCGCGGTTAATGCGCAGCCCCCGTGTGTGTGCGCGGGGGGCCCGCGCTGGGTAACCTGCGAACGCGAGCTCAGGGCGTTGAACATGTCGAAGAAGACGAAGCAGGTGAAGGTCATGGTGGTGTCCCGGGGCGTGATCATGTTGTCCTGAAGCTGCATCCGCGCAGGGTGAGAGGAGCGGCGGCGTTACCTTCCGAGCGGCGGGGGCGCACCGTTGCCAACGCGGTCATCAATTTACGCGCGCGCCGTTATTAACGACGGTTAATTTTGATTACGAGCGGAGCGTGGTCTGGGAGGGAGCGACGTGATTTATGGGAGACGCCACGGGTGCGTGGCACCCTGCTCCCCGCGTGCAACGATCGTAAACCGCGGCACTGCGACCGCGGCGCCAGCGTCGCGCACGCAGATGGATGGGGACCGGAAGGAAACGCGCTCGCGCCTCCGTAGACTTCCGCGGGCAGCCCTCACCTCCCTCCAAAACACGAAGAGGGTTCCCGAGACGATGATGATGGCGGAGATGAGGATCTTGGAGATGAGGCTGCGGGTGAGGATGCTGTCCTTGACGTTTCTCGGAGGCTGCCGGATCACGTCCTTGTCGACAGGCTCTACGCCCAGACTGCATCGGCAACAACAAATACACGCTCGTTACACAATACAATTACACAATACAAATACACAATACCAGCATACAATTACAACACAATGTGGAGTCGTAGAGTGCAGTAATGCTCAACCATGTTGGTACGGCGGTCCCCCGCCCCTTCAGCCGCCACACCAACCCCCCCCCCCACCTTCGTCTTAGCTGCGAGGGTCACGGCACGTAGTGATCACATGTACACCGAGTCGACGCGGTGCTGGCAATGCAAGTGTTTCACGTTGTGTGTCAGTGTGTTTTGTGTTTGTTTCTACGAGTCTCAATGTTGTTTATATGCAAGTCCATGCGTCTCAACACGAGTTTACTGTTCTCCATGGAAATCTTTGTGAGCCGATACAATTACGCGACGCGAACTTATGTGGCGTCTAAAAGCTCCCCCCAAAAACACACCGGTGTACGCGGGCTCCACGGTCAATGTGCCCACGTCACTGCGGGCGTTAAAAGCAAGAGTCCGGCAGGGATCGGCCCGGTCGTGACGCGCGGCCAGAGTCTCGCTCGCCGGCGACGCCGCGACGCGAGCGAACGGGCAGGTACCTCTGGGCGGGCGGCCCGTCCATGATGATGTTGATCCACAGGATCTGCATGGCGTTGAGCGGGTTGGGGAAGTTCATGAGCGTCGCCAGGGTGATTAGAGTCAGGGCGGCGATGCTCCTGCAAAGCACGGCTCACCGTCAGCATCGTCACCGTCACCATTAACATCGTCAACATCGTCAACATCGTCAACATCGTCGTCATAGCTAGTCGGCCAACAACTATCCACTGCTATTCATCGCTTGTCAAGTCTCAATCCCTCTTGCACCTGCACTTGAGATAATTTAACGGAGAGCACATCGACTGCAGAGACGGAGCAATGAGATCAGCTCGTGCGCAGGTGCTGGTCGCAGCGTCACAGTGCAGGATCGTGGCGAGACGGTGACGGCTTTAAGAGGCCTTCATCCAACAGCGGACCGATCACGGCTGACGATGACGACGGCGGCGACCTCTGCCGTGTTTAGCCGTCGGTAAAGATGACGGATAAAACGAGACGCCCAGCCGGGCAAAACCGCCCTCATTAAACCGAGCGGCGCAAAACAAAGAGAGAGGATTTTTTTCCCTCGTTCCTTAAACACGCTTTCCCCTCCAGCGACGGGCGCAGCGCGCGTGGCGCCGGGGTCGGCCCTGCGTGGGCTGCGCCACCTGCTCAGAGTCGATTACCGCACCCAATTATCCCGGCATCACGCGCGACCCCTGCCCTCGTCGACGTGACGATCGGGGCGGCCGCGGCGAGCGGCACTTATTTATGAAGTTGGAGCGGCGCCTCGGAGGACGGGCGGGCGGGCGGGCGCGGAGAGGTCATCCCGCAAACGAGGCCGCGCAAAATAAATTACACGACTTTAAAGCGCTCGACGTACGTCCAACCCCGGCGATGTCAAACGCCGCGATCCACAACAACAACAACGACAACGGTGGCGCTTTCCATTTCGCACGTTTTGTATTTTTAGCTCGAGGAGTTTTGCGACTTGCTGTTCCACGCGATTAAGTTGCAACGTGCACGATTTGCAAGCGCTTGCGCGAGATTGGAGGTTGTCAAGGTACTCTGTTATTTTAATGAAGCGCAGATAAAGAATGCAAGATGAGCTGATGGATCGCGATGTTTTGGCCACGGACGTCTCGAAACAGACTCATCAGTCATTAGCTGTGCGGGAACCAGCAGAAAATGTAATTCGTGTTCGCGTAATTAGGGCATTTATCTCGTTGAATTATGACCACCCTCTAACAGTGCGTTCCGTCTGCAGATGCGTCCCGTGTCCGCTGAGAAACAAACAAACATGACTCACGTGCTCAGCTGAAATCTCACAAAGTTCTTGATGTTGTAGAAGATGCCCTTCCCTTCCTCGATGGCGGACCTGCAGGGCAAGCGCACGGCGCAGAGACCAACGTCATACGCACCGGGTAAGACAGACAGACAAACACACTGAGACACGGACACAGACACGTGCACACGCACGCACGCCGAGGGGTGCACAATTTAGTTGTCCTTCCCCCGCACCTCTGATTAGCACGGTTGGCTACGTATGGTGCGAAAGAAGTTCAACGTACATAGAGACTAGGACTGACCCAGGGACACACGTGCACACAGCTATAAGATAGGGGACACCAGGACACACAGACAGAGCCCTGGGCCCTGCCACTCATCGGTGCTACCCTGGCTGCCCCGGCTGTCCATGGGGCTCATCGTCGTTGCTGTTGTCACTGCTGTCGTCACTGCTGTCGTCACTGCTGACGTCACTGTTATTGTCGCTGGGCCGCCGTGTTGCTCTCTCTCCCAGCCGGTTCCTTGCACTGAACCCTGCACCCCCAGCTCCCCTAGGTCATCACTTCTGCGAAGCCCCTTGGGATGGCGGTTATATTTAGCTGCTGTATAACATTTAAATTGGTGTTGTTATTGAGACACAGACACGGACTGAACCGCGCACGCACCTGGACTGAGACAGCAATGCGCAGAGACTGGGAGACGACAAACGGGGATTCGGACCGCGACGGACAAGAGACAGATCGAGGCAGACAAACAGAAAGACTACGGGACAAGGAGACGGACTGAGACACGGAGACAACAACAGAGAAAAGCAAATGGAGACAAAGACACACACTGTCAATAACTCGGATAGAGGGAGACAGACACTCACACGCGGAGACAGACAGCTTAGACAGAGACAGGAACTAGATTGTGATAGGAAAGCAGACTCAGACAGGGAGACAGACTGAGATGGGAGCACAGACTGGGAAAGTCACACACAGACAAGGGCTCAGATACAAAAAGACAGAGAAGCTTGCACAAGGTGGCTAGAGACAGGGAGACAGGGAGACAGGGAGACAGGGAGACAGCAGACAGGGACGCATGCGAGGACAGGGAGACGGAAACAGACGGACGGAGACAGCGAGCGCTCACATGATGGTGTAGAAGTCGTCGTCGACGAGGATCATGTCGGCCGCCTCCTTGCACACGTCCGTGCCACTGCGTCCCATCGCCACGCCGATGTCCGCGGCCCTGAGCGCCACGGCGTCGTTCACACCGTCGCCCGTCATCCCCACCACCTCCCCGTTCTTCTGCAGCGCCTGCGGGGCCCCGGCGAGGAGAGCGGCACGCCCGTCAGTCGGCCGAACGTTCGCCGCCCGCGTCGTCACCGCGCGACGGTAAAGGGGCTCGCCACCCCTTCCCCCGACACTCCCACACTAGTCAGACTTCTCGGAAAAATACCCACACTTTGCCCCACCGCACGTGACCTGCCGATCCCCTTTGCCCAGCGCCCATGCACACACTGATGGGCCGACAGTTGCGGGTCGGCGGGCAGATTTCATAAACCTTCCCCGCTAGGTCAACGTCCTCGCCGGAGGATCGAATCGGCGACATTCTGCAAGCGCAGAGTGCCGACTGTTACACTGCGGCAGGGTCCCCACCTGCTGCGCGTGTTTCATAAAATGTTTTAATATTTCCCCCCGATGTCATCCCGTCTCGTACGCACTGTTCGCTTACTCCGCGACGTTTGCCGTGCGAGACCGTGGAGATGGAGCAGCGAGTTTGGCCGCGCACGGGAGTGGCCCAGGCCACTCCTACAGTGCCGAGTATTTTTGCGGAGTAATCATCGCCAGGGAAACAATCGCGATCCACGCACGCACCCAGGCGGGGACGCAGCTGCGTCCGTAGAGATTGCTCACGAGGCCCCGTGACACAGAGATTCTGTGGGACATCGCCATCTGGGGGTCGCCATCCGAGTCTCGTGCTCACCGACTCGTTTATATCGTTATTCATCCGCTCCGTCTTGTTCGTAATGCGAGCTTATCATTTGTATAAACGATAAATGACAGATTAATACCCACAATCCAATGCCCGCATTGCGAACGTAAGAAGCAGTTTCAGCCGTTGATTTTTTTTTAGTTCGGCCAAGGAATGATGTGTTCTAATTTGCGTCCTAAGACCCTCCCCCCCGCACCTTAACATTGGCCGTGGAAAATCACCACGTCAAGTTCAGGCGATGATCGGTGCATCATCAACACATGGTACGTGTCGGAACCGCACCGCGCGTCCCCGTCTGTCCAACGGACGTCTGAAGCCGTGACAGTGACAGCACGACGCTCACGCCGCGGCCGGGGACTCCGTCACAGCCAGCGCCGGGCGCTCCGTCACAGCCAGCGCCGGGCGCTCCGTCACAGCCAGCGCCGGGCGCTCCGTCACAGCCAGCGCCGGCGGCATGACGGCGCGAGCATTCCAAACGCCTCCTCGGCGGTCGCGGCGCCACGGGCCGTGAACGACGAGCTCGCACGTCACTTACAACTCCGCTGCCTCATTAACGGAGCTTCAAAAGCCGCTCGCCCGACAGGCCGACGCGCGCGGCACGGACGCGTCGCGTGCGGGGTTAGCGCTGTTTGTTTCTCGGGTCGCGCGTCCCTTTAATGAGGCGCGGGGCAAGCGGCGAGGCATTCCCATCAGACGGAAACCCTCTCACCTGGCGCCGCCGGCCCCGAGATCTCTGTGCCGCTGCGCTCGCCCCGCGGGGGGAAAAATGCAAAACGTTTTGGCAACAAAACGCCGTCTGCAGAGTCGGGGTCCAAGCAAACAGCATCCACGAACAATGATGTATAATTGGCCCGGTGCGATGCGACGCTTAGGCTTCGTAATGAGAAACGAGGGCACGTTAAAATACGTAGGGGCAGCGGGTAACGAGCAGAGCGGAACACCGAGCCGCCGTGAGCCGTGCGCCAGGCACGTCCAGCGACGTGCAACGAAGCAACCAGCGTGGGACGGGAGACGCGGCTAACGGACAGCCGGCGGCCCAGGAGCCGCTGCCACCAGGAGCTGCGATTGCAACAAGGAACATCTGGGCACTGGGCACTGAGTACTGAGCACAGGGGACTCGTGACTGGGCCCATGGCACAGGGTGTAGGCTGAATTTACCTTTACGATCTTGAGCTTGTGCCTGGGACTAGCTCGGTAGAACACGGACACCTGCAGCACAACAAAGGCGAACGCAATTCACAATCAAGGAAGAAAAATCACGCACGCGCATGGATTCTGTAACGCCTTGCGACACGCGTTTTTCCTCGGAAGTACTGAGTACCGGTATGGATGCTGACAGGTAGCCGTCAGAGCAATATGCATTTGCATATTCCAGTTACGTCCTTTGTGTGCTGGTTTTTATCTGAAAGTTGCGGGTCATCCTATACTTATCATGGCTGGTGTCCTTGTGTTTAAGCACTCAACTCCCGATCGCCATCGTCGTGAGATTAAGATTCGATATTCACCGATGAATTGATACGCCCTGACACCCCTAACGTCAGGGACGGCGGCACCGAAGCTCCGATTCACGGCTAACATCAGTGGCAAGCCAAGTGCGACCCGCCCGGTCCCGGGCACCAGAGCATGCTTGGGCAACCCCCAGAGCCGACGCGGCGTGGAGATCTTTTCATCCACCAGTGGAGAGACAACAGGCTAAACGTGTTACGCAAGAGACACACCGCGACACCTTTAACCGATAAACCCTCAACAGCTCCACCACGTGAGGAAGAGCACGTGGGGCCGAGTTCTGCGGTAGCGTGCGACAGAGAGGCCGTGGGAAACCCGGACACGCTGGACGTTGTCGCACATCGAGAGAGAGAGAGGGGCGACGCATGGCTGGCGAGAGTGGCGCACGCAGTCAATTTTGGAGCGGCCAAATTGACTGCACTCAAGGACAGCCACTCAATTTGGGAATTCAAAACCGTTTGTGTAGAAATTATGATATTTCGTGCATCTGTCGTGTCAGGATTATTATCGTTAACAATACTCATTATTGAAACATTAAAATATAGTGTTTGCCATAAAATATAACTGTTGGATGACGACCTCCCCAAGCCGTCACGAATCCACGTAGCACCTGCAGACGAGCCGATTTCAGTGCTCCATCTCCACGCTAGACGTTCTATCCTTCGGCTGCCACCCTATCGTTATCCCAGCCAGCGCCATATCCTGCCTGAGCGCGCCCACACGTAACACGTTGCATGTGTTGATAATTTTATCGGTCGTCTAAATATTTGAGGGTGGCCCTCTGGAAGCAACGGAGTGGGGGTGTCGGTCTGGCGGGGGGTGGGGGAGGGACGCGTGCTCGTCCTCACCTTGCGGATGATCTGGGAGAGCTGCGTCGTCTCCATCAGGTCCATCTCCTCCCCGGAGATGGCGGCTCCGCCGCCGTTGGAGGACAGCCCGAGGCGGTTGGCTGCCGCGAAAATCACGAACTACGGTCAGCGGGACGGCCACGAGGGGACCTCCGTCTCCACAACGGACCGCGGCGCAACGGAACCCGCGCGCACGTTGACGGCACGGCCGCCAACTGCGACCGCGCCTAAGATGGGACACACACGCGCCCGGACGCCGGCGCCGCTGTCCGCGCCGTACGTTCGCTTGTGCCGGCCGGCACCGGTCGCCTCTGGGCGGCCTCGCGAGCGGCGCGGCGTCGCGGCCTCCCGTAGCCCCCGTACCTATGGCGACGGCGGTCTCCATGGAGTCGCCGGTGACCATTTTGACGGAGACGCCCGAGGAGACGAGGATGGCGACGGACTTGCGCACACCGGGCCGCGGGGGGTCGATGATGCCCACGAGGCCCAGGAAGGTCAGCTGGCCCAGCTCGGGCCCCGAGGCCATGGCCAGCACTGCAGGGACACACGGCCCCACAAGCCCGCTCAGCCCCAGCGTGGCCCCGCCGCTCACGCCGAAGGGCAACTCCGAGACACCTACAGTCGCTCGCAGTCACTCGCAGTCGCTTACACGCACTCTCATTCACTAGCGGTCAGTGCCAGTTGTTCCTGGTAACCCCCAGGTATTCTCCGTGACTCTAAAGCACTCTCAGTCACTGCCAATGACCACTTGGGATAGCGACGACTTGAGGTGGCCTTCATCCAGCATTGCTTGTGCTGATGATGCTGATGAGAGCAGTCACACTCATCTTCGTCATGATGCCCGAGGCCGGTATTTACGCATGACGTGTTTAACCGAGAAATTGGGGGGAGCAGGGGTTGGGGGGGGGGGGGGGGAGGTGGCTGACCGCGCAGGCCGCTGGCGCCCATGTAGGTCTCCTCCTGCTTGTAGAGCACCAGCTGCTGGGCGGACAGCGGCAGCGTGTGCCCCTGGCCACGGAAGGAGCAGCACATGTCGATGACGCGCTCGAAGGCGCCCTTCACGAAGTAGACCTCCGCCTTGTCCTGCGCACCGCACTGCACACACAGCGCGCCCGTTGGCACGGCGCCCCGACACTGCACAAGCAGCGTGCCCGATGGCACGGAGCGCCACTCCACCCGCCGGTAAAACTTCCACCGCCACTTAACACAAAACTATTTTTATCTTACCAGGCAAGGCCCACTAAGCTACATAGCTTTTTTACAGAAGCGACCTGGCCACAAACGATAGCTCAACGAGAAGTGGCTTATCACGTGGAAATGTATAGCAGCCAAATGCTCTGAACGCGTGATGTTCATTCTAAATGTGGAGGGAAAAAACGGAGGATCTGGAGAAAAATCCACGCGACCACAGGGAAAACATGCAAACTCCAAATATACAACAGGTGTCAGGGTCGGGATTGAACCCACAACCTCCTGTATACGAGGTAAGGGAGTTAAGATCTCGTCACCACGGTGCCATACTTACCAAGTCTAGCCTAGCCCTAACCCTCAGCTAACTCAACTCTAGCCGAACTTGGCTCTCATCTTAGCCTACTTAATCCTCACATAAGGCTAACTTGACCCTCGCTCTAACTCTCATCACCATCTATCTCCAACCCTGTAGCCTAGCCTTGCACTCGCCTAACTTGTTAATCTACTCATTTATCCAGGGGAACCACACTGAGCCCTGTTTAAAGACCTTCCTGCCACATTGGGGCTTATGTGAAGATGTTTTGAGCCTGTGAATGCTGAGTTGTGTTTATTAAACACGTGGGAGAAAACCGTAGCACCCGGAGAAAACCCACATGCGCGAGGAGGCAACACTATCCCCGTACAGGTGGAAGCAGAGGGCGACACGTCCACTTTGCTGTACTGCCTTCTACTGGCGCGCCAGGGTACGGGCACCTCCTCGACGCCTACCGGTAGAAGGGCGTTTCACACAACATCCGTGGCGGTGATCCACCAACCCTCGCTGCTGCTGCTGCCTCCACCGCGCTGGGTCACAGGCAGCAGCCACGCGCAGCAGCAGCAGCCACCACTGCCACCCGGCTCACACCAACCTACCTTGAGGCTAACCCCATCCGATACACAGTTTTGTCCGTAACGCTGCACACTGCCGAGTGCATGAATGTACGTTGAACTTCTTTCACACCGTACGTAGCCAACGGTGCTAATTGGAGGTGCGGGGTGAAGGAAAATGTGTGACCCTTGAAATACGCCTGTGCGCGGTGCCTTTAAACCCGAGCAGGGATGGGCGGCGGGAGGGGGGCGGGCAACACGTGGCCGTGTGGGGGGGGCGGTGGTGTTACCTGCTTTGTCCTGTGCACGCACTTCACCGCCATCCACTTCTGCTCGGAGCTGAAGGGGATCTCCCTCCTCCTGATGTAGTCTCCCCGCACGTCCGCCAGGCCCATCTTTACGGAGGCATCGCGTGACAGGGCGAGAAGCACAATCACCGACGCCGTCGTTGTCATCTTCAAAATCGTCGCCGTCGTCATTTTCACCAAAATCGCTACCGTCACCGTCACTAGGCAATGTGATGCGATGAACTGTGACGATCCGTGGTCACGAGTGGATTCAAGGACCGGTTATTTTTGGTCTCAGTTTTGCCGTCTCATTTGCAATGTGTCAAACGCAGCTGTCTTGTTTGCACAATGCCATTTACTCCACGAGCTCGGATATAACAGCAGTGTGTTACATTAATTTCCATGAATTGTAAATAAGCAATCCTGAGCGCAAAAATCTATTTTAATCAATGCGTCACTGTGTGCCCAACCATCACCACCACGTTCTGCCTCGGCAAAACAGGTTGCACCCGAGTCAAAAGCCGCATGGCTCACAGGGCTATACCTAATAAATGAAACTGAAACAGGGAACGGAACGGCGTTTCTGGGAACAATCCGGCAGTGAATCACCCACAAACAGGCTTCTAAATGCGGCAAGGGGACCGGAGAACAATGGGCGCACGCACGCACGGCGACATCCCACACGGCGTCCCGCGCACCCAATCGAGGCACCACCCCATGTTAGCCTTTGGGTCTCCACATCAATCTATGGGTCTCGTGGGGTAGCAAGGTGGTTGGCGTCGGCCCCGGTGCCAGAAATTAATTGAGGTTCGTCCGTTCAATTTTCCCCTCCCATCTTTGTAACCCGGGGCCTGGACTCCTCGGGCTCCTGGGCCCGGGTGCGGTGGCACCGCCCCCACCCTCGACAGCCACGTCGCGGACGTCACGCGGCCGTTGCCGTCCCCCCGTGGCCTCACCTTCATGGCGAGCACGAGCAGGGCGCCCTCCGTGGGCTGCCCCATCAGGGCCTTGTCGCTGCGGATGATGGCGTCGTTGCAGATGCACCCGGCCTGCACGCGGTTCAGGTCACATGGCTATGAACATCAGCCCACCAGTCGCACTTCGTTCGGGACGAGCGGGCAGCCCGTCCCCATGAACGGGACAGGGGCGTTGGCATAGGTCCTGGCGCGGGCAATTAATTACGGCCCCCACCTTCTTCCTAGCCCAAAACCTGGGCCTCAGAGCAGTTGCACCGCCTGCACACTCGATAGCTACACCACTGGGATGGAGGCGATATGATGCTCGCGCTAGCACGGTTACCCCAACCCAAGTGATCCACTCACGGATAACCGAGATGTAATTGTATACGCGCGAATAAATGCACAACAATGACCCCTTGTGGCCTTAACAGACTGTTGGGGCAAAAGCACCTATGAAGGCCAGCACGGTAAAAACTAGTAAGTGGTGTGTCAAGCGCCCCGCCAAACTGCATTTTTCTCTCCAGTGGTGAAGTTTACACACTGCTCCAAGTAATCATTTGAGGCCGAGTTGCCCTAGGAGAGGCCCAGGACTGGTTCAGATAATCGCCACTGGTGTTAGACGTGAGCGGGAATCGCACTCGGGTCGCCAGGTTCGTAGCACAGCGTGCTAACCGCTGGACTACAGCTCCACGCCACATCATGTACACACAGAGACACAGAGACAGACACACGTGGGACAGCACTGCAGGTGGCGAGGACCCCCCCCACCTCGACGACGCTGGCGATGGACGCGTGGGAGTAGCCGTGCACGATCTCTCCCTCCACCCGCACCTCCCCGTCCACGTTGTAGCCCACGCCGGTCACCTGCAGCAAGCGAACGCAGCAAACCACGCACTTACGCAACTCCCACACAGAGCGGTGGCCGCGCAGCGCCGCACAAATCACACCAGGATCAGCCTCGGGTCGGCATAAAGGTCGCCCTCGGGTGAGAGGTCATCGGTCACCTCTGCGTGCAACCCATCCGCCGTGCAGATGTGCGTCGCGGTCATCTCGTTCTTGGTCAGCGTCCCCGTCTTGTCCGAGCAAATCACCGTACAGCAGCCTGCGATGGACACAGGGGGTGGGGGCACACAAACACACACACGGGGTCACATGAGGCCACGTGGGGCACAGGGTCATGGGGCAGACGAGGACAAGGGAGCGGACTGGCTCAGCACTGTGGTTGGGGGCCACACTCCCACAGGAACGCAACGAGAGAAGGGCAGCAGTGCTCCCGAGGGCCACACCCACCTGGAAGACGGCGGGGACGTTGTTACCAACTCACGCTGCTCGCTTTAATACCACCAATCCCGCGTCTCACCTTCCCCAACGGTGCACGCTCCCAAAGGTTCTTATTGCACTCCGAGTCGGCTAACTGGAAACACTTACCGAGAAAGGGAGCTCAATATTTTTGGCAATCGCGCGCATTTCATTTTTAAGCGCGGGCACCGTGCGGGGTCGAGTGTCGGGGTCGCGTGTCGAGGTCGTACCCAGAGTCTCCACGGTGGGCAGCTTCTTGACGATGGCTCTCTTCTTGGCCATACGCATGACCCCGAGCGCCAGCGTCACCGTCACCACGATCGGGAGGCCCTCGGGGATGGCGGCCACCGCCAGGCTGCAGCGAAACAAGCGGCGTCGCTCGCCTCAAAGCCGGCCACGCGCCGGTGCCGCCGCGACACGCTCTCACCCAGAAGCGTGCCATCGCAGACTCCACCGCCGTACCAATCCTATCCATCACCAGCACACCGCCACAGCGCTGCGCAATGTGTCACCACCGCGCTCTTCACCACAAGCCTCAGTGTCACGGTCGCCATACTGCATTGGCACTCCCCCACAGCAACTTCCACCACCGGCCCACCAACCCACACCTGTTGCCCTGCAAAACCACCAACTACCCCCACCTCCAAGCCATCACGACCACACATCACCACCACTTGACATCCAGCCACAAACACCGCCAGCAGGCCCCCACCAGCACACCACCGCCTGCACACCACCACTATCAGGCCAATGGCCACAATTGGGGCCATTGCGTGACCGAGCGTACCTGACGCCGATGGTGAACATGTCCAGGATGTGCTTGCCTTGCAGCCACCCGATGAGCATGATCAAACCTGGGCACAAGCACACGAAAGATAAAGATCTCCCTGTAGCCTAAACATATCGCTGGGGGAAGTGCTGTTAGCGACCACCTATTAAGGCCGGCACGTCACAAGAGGGGGTGGGTGGCCAGCACCGCGCCCGGCCAACTGTGTGTCCCCAATGGCGATGTTAGCAACACACCACTGCATGGGGTACTCATTCGAGACTGAGTCGACCGAGGGGAGGGCCAGGACTGGTTCAGATAGTCGCCACTGGTGTTGGTGGCCGTGAGCGGAAATCGAATCCGCACATGCGAACACAGTCACACACGCACAGCGCGTGCGCACTGCACTCTGCGTGTGGCGAGAGTCACGGCGTTGTGTTTGTCGACGCTGGAGCACAACGCGGAGCTTGGTGCGAGCCACCACTCACCGATGATGCACAGGGAGTAGAAGGAGAGCTGCTTGCCGAGCCGGTCCATGCTCTTCTGCAGCGGGGTCTTCGGGGCCTTCAATGCAAGAAAGCACCACCACGTGACTTGTACGTGTTAATTTGTCCTCAATTTGATCGCGATTGCGCTATTCGCGTCACGTCACGAACTGAATGATCCGTTCGCATCTCCGGCAGAGCGCCGCGACCTCCGTGTTCCAGAATGGCCCAGCAGAAGCGGATATTGCAGAGCTACCTCCGGTCTAAACGGGGAGCGCACGCGTCGCGTACGGTGCGAGCCGAGCCTCACCTCCTCAGCTTGCATCATCTTGAAGACCTCTCCAAACTCAGAGTTCTCGCCGGTCCCAATGACAATTCCCTGCCGAGACAAAGCGCACGCGGGGCGTCGTCCTGGGTCACGCGGGGGTGGAAGGCGCCGGGGCTCACCGCGCGACCGCATCACGGCTCAAACAACACCACCGCGACCACGACGTACAGTGCCCACACTGATCCCGGCCACGTTCACGCGGTCACCGATCGCAGGGTGGCGAGCACAGCCTCTTGCCAATCCGCCGATCAGGCGGAAGCGTCCCCACGCTGTGTCGATCGTGGGAATTGTTTGACCATACTTCACCACGCTGGTCAGTCCGGGTCTGTGAAGTCTGGTGGGAGGGCGGGATACGAGATCGGTTCACGCATCGAAACGGATGCTAGCAGTGACCGGTAACCGAACTCGGTCACCGAGTTTGAAGCGCAATGGCACAAGATGACAATTTCTGCATCGCGACCCTGAAGCGCTCGCAGGCCGAAGCACGCTGCTGGCGAGTCGAGCCTGCGGAGCACTGCCATGGTCGGGAGAGGTGGGGTCGAGGGTAACGCGGTTGCATGGTCATCTTTCCTCCCTCCTGGGCCCTGGTGCGGAAGCGATCACTCCTAGGTCAGAGCAGCCTCGCCTCGCCTCGAGGACTGGCCAAGGACGACTGCGTTGTCGGAGCAAAGAGGGCGGCTGCGTGTTATAGTTATTGTGAGGACTGTCCACTATGAACATCACGTCATCATCATAATTATTTCATCATCATCATCGCCATTGTCCCTTGGGCACGTCTGATACTTTGCATTATCCTCATCACCTCTTGGGTCTGCACAACGTCTGCTGCTGCCTGTCGCAGACGCTACGTTCATCATCATCATCATCATGAGTCAGCTGCTCTCGGGCTGACATCTCTTCCTTGTCCTTTCCGACAGGTCCTGCAGGAGGCTGCTAGCAAGTCCCCTCTGCTCTCCGAGTGGCACGGCCAAACCATTGCAGCAGCTTTCCTGCTCCCTGCGGCCGCCGCGAGTGTTCGTGTAGCTCTCCGATGCATTTGTGGTTTGTGCCGCTGCCGGCACGTCGAAGCGAAACGTCGGACATCGTGCCGAACAATGCATGGCGCAACCCGAAAAACAACGGAGTTACGCGGCGCAACGCGAAAACCCACGCAAGTACTGGTGTCCGCTGTGTGCCCCAATCCTCAACCAGCACCGCACCAACGGACCCATCTGTGTGTCGCCGTCAGGTTCTAGTCACCTGCCAACCGAGTGATGTGGAATTGAAGTGAACACAGGTTCCCTTCAGGAGCCCCCAGGTGCCACTGCGCAGAGGCTGCAATGCCAAACAAAGAACACGAAGCCAGCTCCCCACGGCTTCCTCTCCCAGCCCGCCCCGACCCAGGCTCATTCAGCCTCAACAAACAACGGCCCTTGTGTATTTGGCTTCACAATGCACTTCTTGGCAAACATCCTTCAGATACACCAGTTCCTCCCCACCCCCCACCCCCCCAGTTTGATGTATTCCAAAACAGCTGGTGACTTCTGACTGTTCTGCTGAACGACAAAGAGCACCCGCAGCGTTTGCTTTAATAATCACTTTTCACGGAATGCGTTGCTGGCTCAGATGCCTCTGGCCGGGTCATTGGACCCCTAACGACCTCTTGGAAGCAAAGCGTAAGTCCCCGACCGCGTCTCACAAGGGAGAGAGTGACGGGCCCGCCGAAACATTCCGGTTTCAACAGCTGCATAAACCCCCCTCGGCT